AGTGCTACAGAAATCGCTACACTGTTATTTTTCACAATCTACACAGGCTACTTCACTGTTTCAGCCTAGAAAGGCAGGGCAGGCAGAAGGCAATGCCGTGTACCACTCCTTGTCTCTAACATTTTCAATCAGCAATAAAATGGTATCTTACGAAGAACTCAAGCCAGATGTGGTGGCACAGGCCCAGAATCCTAGCACTCTGGAGGCTAAGGGAGGACTGCTGACTTCAAGGGCCCCTTACTTTGTTCAAGCAAATTCAAGGACAGCCTAAACTACAGTGAGGCCCTGTCTCAAAGAGAAGACAGAAGAAAGAAAAGGACCACTACGAATCCAATCTGCGGAGCGAGACCCTGTCCTAAATAAAACAACAACAACAACAACAACAACACCCTGAAATCAGGTTCCACTCCCAGAACCCTGTCCATCAAAGAGACCTTGAACTTACTGGCACATTCAAGGATACACTCCAATAATTTTGGAAGACATGGACGTCTTAGCAGCATTAATCAGGCAATCTCTTCCAAGTTCATCTGTGTTAATAATTAGGTTTTCACTGATATAGCGCACTGCTTCCCTGTTTATAAAGTGTGGAGAGAAAAATGCTTTAAGGCTGCTACTCAAACCTTTTGCCTCTGTCACGCTGCACGTGGTGTCAAATGCTACAGGAACTGCTTTTCTGTCTGGCCATTTCATATAGGAGGAGGACACTGAAAAACCCTCCCTCTTCAGATCATGGCAACTTTACTCTATCCCACAAGCATAGCCACTAAAATCTACTACAGGAGAAAACGTGGTAGTCAAATGGGAAAGATACTGGCCCAAGTTCTTACCTCAAATGTTACCATGTGAATGCTAAAACACAACCTGCCCAAATTAAGATGTGGTCATTGATCAAGGCTTAGGAGCCACACAGTTCACATATATTACAGCCGATAAAATTTAGCTTACACACAAACAAAGAATCTTACTTGCAAGCAAGCCGATAGCCACTAATAACTGATGTGGGATGAATTTTCTGTTTGACAAGTTCGTCTGCGTTTTTCAGAAGTTCTGCTGCAATGATAACCTGTTGAAAAAAATTCACAGGTATAAATATGCCTGACACTCAATCTGTACAATGTGCACAGTACCAACATGAAAGATCATTATTAATGAGACTGGTGATAAAAGTAAGAATTAAAAATAGTACTAAGAGGGGCCAGGGAGATGGCTCAGTAGAATAAGTGCTTGCCTGGCAAGCGTAAGGGCCTGAGGTCATTCCCTGGTTCCACCAAAAAAAAAAAAAAAAAGTGCTAAGAGCGTATATACCTACGAACAATACTAGAGAAACAAACAAACAACTAGGACTAGTTCTACAATACACCAGAACACATCCATTATCAGTAGCAAGTATACATTTAGAAGAAGCTACACTCCTATTGGTGTGATTTGTACTATTACAGGGTTTTAGTTTAAAAATCCTTCTTGTAAGGATTACTAAGAAGTATTTGTTAAAACTTAAAATCTTGTGAGCTTCTCTTGTAAAAACTTATTTGGTACACTTGCTACACAGCTCTGACTTGCAGTGACCCTTCTTTCTCAGCCTCCCCAGTGCTGGGCTTGTAGGTGTGCGTCATCATGCCCATGTCCAGGTTCCAGGGCCAGCTCAGCACGTGGTACTGGGGATTGAACTCTGGTCCTTGTGCTTGCCAGGCAGGAGCTTAAGACTGCTGAGTTATCTCTCTGGCCCTATTTGTTCTTATGTGTATCACGTCATGAAGGAGTAAGCTTTCTTCTAGTCCAATTCTGAGGTCCTGAGATTGCCTCTCAGCATTTAAAATATTAAAATACTTAGCTACTTTTAAAAGCTTTGAGATTTTCTCCCTTAGGTATGTAAAGGTTTCACAAATTTCTGTCTTAGATGGTAATAAAAGTTCAGAAATTATTAAAAATATCCTTTTCTGAAATTTGAAATCATAATGAGACACTAAGAAGCCCCCCAAACTGGTGAAATCCTAATTTTGAAATGAGGATACTATTACATTAGCTGAAATTTTTTTCCTACTCTAATTGTACAAATTAGGTATAAACACACATTTTCAAATTTTCCTTATGAATTTTTACCTGCTGAGTAGTTAACATTTTCCTTTTTAAATCACTCAATTTAGGGCCGGCGAGATAGCTGAGCCGCCTAAAGCACCTGCTTGGGCAAGCTCAGGCATGTGCACAGGGACAGTGGCTCAATCCTGGCACCACATACCATGCCAGCCCCGCCCCTAGGGTTGGCTGAGCTGGCCAAATAAATAAATAAAATAAAAACTTAAAAAAAAAACAAAAAAACAACTCAGTTTATTTCAGACCCAGAGCAAATGACTAAATTTTGGCTATGACATTGACAAAATGCACGGTCCCACCTACCACTGAGGTCGTTCCATCTCCAACTTCTTTGTCTTGCAGATCCGCCAGCTCACAAAGAACTTTGGCTGCAGGATGTTCTACCTCCAGCAACTTCAGGATGGTGGCACCATCATTAGTAATGGTTACATCCTAGGAAAAGACAGTAAACAGCGGTAACATCAATTACCTATAGGAACAAGGTACCCCTAAGTCAATACAGTCTCACTACAATGAAAATTCAATGTTAACACTCACCTCCTAATATGGGGACTCAGAAAAGCAAGTAATTGACAGAGCAAAAACAGTGGACAAAATGACAAACTATACTCACACCAATGTCATCTACCAACATTTTATCCAAGCCAACTGGACCAAGTGAACTTTTTACGATATTTGCAATAGAAGCTGCAGCCATAACTGTAGATAATCCATGGAAAAACAGAAAAGAAAGAAAATTAGTAAACCTTACTGTTCTAAAGTTCATTCATTTCCTTTTTGCGGAACGGGGGATTAAACTCTGGCCCTTAAGCTTGCCAGGCAAGCGTTTATTCTACTGAGCCATCTCCCCGGCCCCTATAGTGCGTTACTGAAAAAACACGAATATTTTCAGAGTTTAGTTTACTGCCTCAGAAAACGACACAATTAATCAACAGTTACAATATTGTGCTATCCCTTGGAGGATAGTAGTCATCAACCTTCCCCTGAAGACTAGCATTTTTTTTGTAAAGGTACTGGGGGTTGAATCCGGGTTCCTGTGCAAGGAGTCTACAACTGAAAAACATACCTAGCCCTTTAACTCTTTTAAATTGCCCACCCTGGCCTTGAACTTCCCACCCTCGGCTGGCAGGTTTTAAAAAAATCCTCAACACAACCCCATTTTTAAAGATGAAAACCCAGTAGTCCTAAAATAAAGGTGCTAAACGTTATTTAAATTCATTCAAGGAAAAAAGAATTTATCAAAAAAAAAAAAAAAAAAAAAGTCCCGATAGCTCCTCACGACTGATTTGGTAATTCTTATTAGTGTTTGCTAGGATAAATACGTCTTGCTACCACTAGTATACAATCCAGCATTTCTGTAACTTATTTCACTGCAAGAGGCCATCAATGGCAGGTTGTGGACAAAAACGATCTGAGTGACCACAGGGGCGGCGACATCCACAGTGGGTCACAACCAGATGGAAGAGTGCACGTCCCCTAAGTTCTAGAGGCCTCTGCCCTCGCGGGAACTTTGCAGGGGAACGCAAAGCTTTTCCGGCCGAGAGCTCAGGAGGCCGCCCGCAGCCCGGGAGGGAGGCCGCCCCGGGACGCGATCTGCGGGTGTGGCTCGCACGTGTCGAGGCGAGCGCTCGCTTTCCGGCCTCGGGCGCCGTCTCCACGCCGGTCCCGGCGCCCGCGCTCCCCCACGGGAGGTTCTCCAGACGCACTGCGCCCACGGGCAGGGCCGGGGTGGCCCGCCACGGCCACGGGAGGACAAAGGCCAGGGCGAAACTTTTTACGGGCCCTTTTTGCTCTGAGAGACGTTGAACAAAACGATACAGGGCCCTGTCCGCCTTACCGTTCTGAGAGCGGATCGCTTCCCCGGTGCTGCGGTCCCCGAACACGGACAAAGGGCCCTCCATCTTCGCGGCGAGGTTGCGCGCAATTTCACTCCGCCGGAGGCAACCACGACCTCCGCCCACGAGCCGCAACGCCGAGCCTAACGAAGCGGCCAGGCGATCAGGCCAGAGCGGAGCCCTGAAGGCTGCTGGGTAATAGCACCTCCCACTTCTCCCGCCGCTGCCCGGCCGCGAGGCACGGCGGGAAGGAGGGGAGGGTGACAGACCCAGGAAAATTGCCGGAAAGGAGGAACCCTAAAATGGCCGGCCCTATCTAGCGGTCCAATGGGACCGCAGAGGAGAAGGGCGCCAAAGAGGAGACCGGAAATTAGGAGATTTGGACCACCCGCGGAAGGAAGTACTTGCTGACTTCTGCCCACAGGCGACTTTTGCGCGTGCGCCTTTTAAGTTTCTAGTGTGTTCTAGAAAAAGTGACCAGTGGGCGGAATTAATAGTTGGAATTTATTGGGTTAAGGTGTCAGCTCCCTTAAGTGCTTGTTCGGGGAGGATGAAGCTGTTAGGCTCGGCTTTGTTCCAGGGCGCACAAGGGTCTGCGCGTGGCTAGGACCAGGGAAGGATGGGGAGTGCAAGTTTTCAGCTAATTGAAATCAACTGGGGCTGGTGAGATGGCTCAGTGGTCTAAAGCGCCTACTTAGAACAAGCTTAGCAAAGTACACGGACCAGGGTTCAATCCCCCAGCACCACATGCCAGCCAGACCCGCCCCCTGGTGGGCTGAGCTGGCCACAGACACAGACACATATAAATTAAAAAAAAAAGAAAACAACTGCATTTGGCTCTGCTCCTTTTGCTCCCATGGGTAGACCCGGTAGGGTCTGATCTGAAGCTTTGCGACTTCAGGACCGAAACTGGTCAGAGAACGAGAAGGGCTGCGCGCTGGAGAGCCTGGAATCAGCCGTGACCTTCCGGGGCTACCTCTCTAGGAGGGCGGGTGATTGGCCGGCGTGCGTGTTGACGTAAGCGGTGATTGGCGCAGCGGCGTGACGGATTGCCCCTGTGGCCACTCAGCTGCGGAGAGTTGTGGCTTTGCTGGTCCGCGGCGGTCTGTGGCTCTCTCGCCCTCTAGTATGGCTGGGGCCGGTTAACTGGGCTGCGGTCGCGAAGAGAAGGCAGGCTTCCCGTGCTTTCGCTGTCATCCTCTCAACGATGGAGCTTCTGTCACGGTTCTGCAATTTGCCGATTCGCAGGAACTCGGGCTATTTATCTCATTCTCAGCGTACACTACCGTGCCTGCACAGTAAGTGGATTTTACAATTGCGCTTAGGTTGAACCCAGAACCTTGGCACTGAGCTCCATCCCCAGCCTTTCACCCCCTTTTATTTTGAGACAAGGTGTTGCCCAGGCTGGCTTGAACTTGTCATTTTCCTGTGCCAGCCTCTGCTGAGATTACAGGTGTGCACCACTAGGCCTGGCTTTTGGAAATACTTTTTAAAAAGTAGACATGGGGAAAGTAAATAGGCTAGCAGCACGTGCTGACTGTAGCAGGGGGTGATGTATCAGGTCTGTGGCGACAGCTTACATTTCGCCCTCCTTTCAAATTCCAAGCTTCGAGCCGCGGAGATAGCTCAGTAGAATAAGCAATTGCCTGGCAAGTGCAAGGTCTTGAGTTCAATCCCTGGTACGGCAAAGAAAGAAAGAATTTCTGCCACACACGCACACACACGCACACACACACACACACAGCAAAGTCCAAGCATCCGTTTCTGTTCTGTTTTTTCTTTTAAGGATTTGTCTGAATGTTTCTATTTCTTAGAGTGTAGGCTCGCGGCTCTCTCAACCAGCTCCACGCCAGCGGTGAAGCCGAAAACAGAGCCTGTGGAAAATGAAGCTGTTGCCCCAGAGTTCACCAACCGAAACCCTCGGAATCTGGAGCTGTTAGGTGTAGCCAGGAAAGAGCGGGGTTGGGGGACCGTGTGGCCGTCCCGAGAATTCTGGCACAGGTAATTAAGTCTCCTAGTGATTGACCACGCTACATGCATTGTAGATTATTTCTCCAGTTCACTCGCCGACAGTGTCGGGTTTGCCTGGGCTTCTCTCACACGGAATGCTGACAATGTGGTGAGTAGTGGTAGCACTGGCAGATGGAGAAAGCCTAAAAGATACATAACGTCAGAGTAGGAGACTGGTTGTATACTGAGGATTGTAGGAAAGGTGATATTTATCTATCTATCTATCTATCTATCTATCTATCTATCTATCTATCTCATACAGGGTCTTGCTAGGGCAGCTTGGACTTGTAGCGATTCTCCTGTCTCAGCCTCCCCAGTGCTGGGATTACAGGCATGTGTCACCACGCCTGGTCTTCGTGGCTGACGCAGTTTGTAGTGCCAGGGATTGAACCCCGGTCCCTGCGCTTGCCTAGGCAGGCGCTTAGTCCACTGAGCCATCTCGCCAGCCCGTAAAACTATATTCTGAAAAAAGTACAATTTTCGCCATTTTTGAGAAGTGGATTAAGGCTAAGGGAGATATGATTAGTAAGTTCTAAAAGTAAGATTCAGGGCCGGGGAGATGGCTCAGTAGAATAAGCGCTTGCCTGGCAAGCACAAGGGCATGAGTTCAATCCCTGGTTCCTCAAAAAAAAATAAATAAATAAAAAAAATAAAAAGTAAGATTCAAATCTATTTTATAGGATCTTACCGTCAGGACCCTAAATTATCATCATTGTGCTGTAGCTTAGTGAAGGTATTTTGTCTCCTGCTTATTTCCTTAGTGGAGATTTAAAGTAGCATAGAAAGGAG